GCCGTGGAGGTTCAGTACCTATCCATGATGTCCTTGCATTGCTGGCTGAGGAGCTANCGATGCTAAACACGGAAGGGCTGCCCTATACACATCCAGTGAATGGGATGCCTGCAGTCGCTAAAGTTCAATTACAAGTGCTTGGTGGTGATTACCGTGCAGTCGAGAAGGTCGTAGGTATCACTGGTGCACCCACATCTGTGTACAGCTGCTTCAAGTGCTGGCACCCAGGGACTTGGGGTCCCAGCAAGTACCTGTACGGGCAGTTTTTTCGCTATCTGAGCAAAGCTTCCCCATTGCGAAGGCTGTCAGCTGACCTCAATAATGCCATAAAGTGGTCATGGAGAAAGGTCCCCGGTGCTGCATCGATGACAGGACCAAGGAAGTTCGATGTTGACGACAGTACCATTGTACGTGCTGCTTGGAACTCACAGGCCCTGTATGCACCAGAGCGTACACAGGAAGACCTGGTCCGGCAAATCAAGGTACTGGTTATGTTTCTATGTCTGTTGTGAGTATGTGGAGGCAACAAGACCCCTTACTATGTGATGCTGGCAGAGGAGTAGTTTGCGCACCATATGCAATGAACTTGTTTGTGCTGTACAGTAGTGGAGTTCATGCATACACTGTGTTTCGTTCTGTCAGATCTGAACACATACACACACAAAAAGGTAGTACGCATTGATCATGTAACACCCTAAACTCAACAGCATGCTGTTGTGCATCCTTAACACGCAACAATTGCCCTCAACTGCTGGCCAATCTCATGCATGCATGCATGCTTGTCAGGTACCAGAGATCAGGGTTGATGATGACACTGATGCTGGCCCTGAGCTCACGACTTCAGCACGGGGAAGTTTATCAGACATCAGTTCGGAATACTTCCCAGATGATCATGATGATGACGATGACGTTGATGATGATGATGAGTTTCAGTCTGCAGACGTAGATGACAGTGATGTTCACAGTGATATGGACGATGATTTATTTCATGGCATCCCACCTAACGTTCAAGATGCAGAGATGCAGCAGCCAAACCGGTCCTGGCGTGACAGGTTGCTTACATCGGTTCCTGGATTCTCAACTAGGAGAGGCCTGCAGTACGATCCCATGCATACAATCGGCCAATTTATGCTCAGCTGTTGACCTCAT